TATTCTCCACACTCTTGTAACCAGTAAATTTTGTTACCATCTCATGAGCAGGTAACAAAATATTGCCCCGTGAAATATGCAACACCAGAATTTCAACAAAACTCCATAGCTGAATTGCTGAATAAATTAAAACGTTACCAAGGTAAATAGAATTGCGGTTGTAAGAAGTGGTGACAATTGTTGGTAACAAAATTAGCTTGTTACAAAATATTCGGTTACAAGCAGAATAGGCCTGTAAGTCTTATAGGCCATATAAAATAAGGCTTACATAAGCCCTTAAAATAAGGTCTCACATTGAGTATAACTTCCTTATAATAAGGCCTTACATGGAGTATAATTTCCTTATAATAAGGCTTATAGATCATATAAAATAAACGTCTGCTTCACGTTATACTTCACGAAGGCCTTTTCATAATTAAGAAAAATAAATAAAAATTTAATAAAGTGAAATCTTAAATTTCATATTCCGTCTGATGGGGATTGAACCCGGACAGCCTTGGCAGCAAGCAATTGTATCAAGCATCATTGCACATTCAGCTACAGCCATATGTGTAAATGTGCTTTCAAATGTTGAATTTGAATTAACACCACATTTCGCTGCGTTGATGTCGTCGGTTCATGAGGTTCGCTCTCTCTCTCTGAGAGACGCCCTTATGCCTAAAGGTCTGATTATGCATATTCGCATAATTTCGCACAACCATTTGTACCAGTGCAATGAAAATGTATCTTAATAAAATGTGAAGCAAAATCTAAACTCAACAGATCGCCAAGTTCTGCTAATTTGGGTTATGGAATCCATACAAAATAATTCCGACATTACAGTTAAAAGTTTATGCGAAGTTGTGCGAAGTATGCATAATCAGACCTTAAGTCTTATAGGTCAAATAAAATAAGGCTTACATAATCCCTTATAATAAGGCATCAGATGGAGTATAGAAACCTTATTATAAGGCTTATAGATCATGTAAAAAACGCTGCAAGCAGCGTATTGCTTATTTCTTACAACTGCTTACACCTTTTTTGCTGGGAACAGTTCATTAGCTGCGCACTTACGACTTGTATGTGAAAGCGGAGTTGCTATCGGACACTCCTGTGTGCACCACTGATCTAAGTGCCCTGGGAATACTTCTGCATCCAAAAGAGAATATTGCCAAGTTGTTTAAATAGAATGGAAATATTTAACAAGATTGTTTTTCGTGGCAAAAAAATAATATTTAAGTAAATTTCTTAACTGAACTATATTTTTTATTTTTATTGAGCCTGAGGCCGTTATTATTGAAAATTTTTGTGGAAAAACTACAATAAAAATATTTCAAAATAAATCGCTACTGGGCCAGAAAATAACAAAAACAAAATGTTGAAAACTTTTCTTTAAGGAGCTTAGAAGCAAATGTTTTTTTTTTAGCTCCTTGTTCCAGCTCCCTTCCAGCTAAAATTGTTTGCTCCTTTGCTCCAGAAGTCCTGATTTGAAGTATGCGGAATATAAAAGATTGCCATAAGAAATATGAAGCACCGCAGTGTAAATAATATCGCACATGTTTGCGGGCCTTTGCTTTTTAACGTTATCGCATCAAATACGATATCGTATCGCACCGTTAAGCTGAAATTAGTCGAGAACGCAGAACGTATACTTAAACGCAGTCTGTAAACGCAGAATTTTGTCGATTACTGGAGCCCTCAGTGTTGCTTACTACACTGTTGCCACTCATCAATGCCTTTTCATAAACTTACCCTTTCAACTACAATTTTTCGTGCTATAATAGATATTAGCTAAATATAAACTACTTAGTTTTCAACAAAAACCTTATTCAATAGTAAATTTCAAATATTTTAAACATATTTTGAGTAGGAACCTATATCTTTTTTACCATCTGTAAAACTGACGAAGTGGCAACCATCTAAAGAAGGAGACATCAGCTGACACGGAAAAATCTAAATTCCGCATATTTCTGACCTACGGGCTACAACTACAGAAAAATTCTGCGGTGTTGAGTTTTCATTTACATGGCGCTTTGGTAAGACAGATCGTGTCAGCTGACTCGGGTTTACGTACCGGTAGGTTTACGTTCTTGACTAATTTCAGCTTTAGTATCGCATCTGTTTTAGCCCGAACACAATGAAAACGACGAGCTACGGACTACAGCTGTCAAATTATTTTAACACGTACTCTTATGTAGATAATTATTTTGGCGACGACCGGGCTACGCGACGGCTGTGGTTGTGGCCAGATTAGATCTATTTCTATTTTTCCGGCGACAGATAAGGTTCTTCCTCTTCTTTTATGTCAAACTCATACAA